GATGAATTACATATAAAAATATTGTTAACTCAAAATCAACTTTTTGGTGACATGCCTCGTTTCTATTGATCAGACCCAAATAATTAGCATTTTAATTTTTTGTGTATTATATGTTGATCCTGTCGATCATTATCTCGTTTCAACGGATTTAGTAATACTATAAATTATATGCACACACTTTTTACTGTTGAAATACTCGTTCTATCTTTTATATTCCAAATTTTAAAAATACCATCGTCCATGCTTACTTCCACTCACACATATGTTTCATTTAGATTTCTTTTACATGTCCTTGTAAACACCAAATACTTTTTCCACTCATGACATTCCAAACTTTACAGTACAATAATAACAACTGTCGCTAACCAAGGTGTTGCCTACGCCTGCTAAGCAAGAGATAACATTATTATGACTTCAAAGTGTGCGGAGGTAATATGGATTATCAATACAGTCAAGCGGACCTCGCCACAGCGAATTATAATTAAATTCTTGTCACAACGGATTTTGAATAAATTTTCTTATGTGTCCCGTTCATCCGTTGTGACAAGGTTTGACTGTACTGATAGATGAAGAAGATACAATAGGATGATAGTTCAAGCAAGATTAGACAAACGCTACACTTTTAATGTTGAGTCTCTCGAGTAAGTGATAATTAAAGGAACAGGCGGTTCTTTTGTAGTTAAATTAATGAATCGTGACTGGTATTAGTAAAGTTGCATGTACGCGTATCAAGTATTAACCAGGGAATTCTTCGTACAACCATCTCCCAAAAAATCGGAGCAACGAACCAAAGGAACAAATCAAAAGCAAATCGCCAAGTAAGTATTATTAGAGCATGACTGTCTTGAGAGCTATTCTAGTTCAGATATACACGCATAAAGAAAGAAAAAAGTACAATGGTTTGGAAATTTAAATAAAAGTTTTTAATTTATATTAGAATGATTATTATTCATAGATTAAAACAATAAATGATAAAAATTAATTTCTGTTTTGACTAATTATAGTAAAATATTGTCTTAATGCATCTGCTAACGTTTCTGGTAAAGAATTAATATTTTTCAAAACTACATAATAATCAAAAGGAAATTTGTCTAAATATCGTTCCATTTGTATTGTCATGTTTCCATCAACTAATTTATATTTAACTTGATTCATTGACATGATCGAATCATTTTCCAATTTATTATCAATAATAATAAAAACAACCATTATTTGTAATTCCACAGCTTTTCTAACCAGAGCTTTAATACTCTCGTGATCTTCACAGACTCCATCTGAAATTATAATCTGAAGTTGCCATAATTCTTTAATTTGTGAACCATTTCCATAATAATTATTATTTCTTGCATTTTCTAAAAGTTTTATTGTTGATTCCATTAATGATTTAATATAAGTCTTATTCTGTTCAAATGTAAATTGGTGCAAAACTTGTGCGCCTGCTTCACTATTAAATGGTTGATCAAAAGGATGAAGCAGTTGAACCTTTTCACCAAAACTAACAATCGATATATTTCCAACCTCAAGTTGAGAAAGCGCTTTTGATATAAGTGCCAAGGCCTCATATGCCAGTTGAATAGAATGAGTTTCACTCATTGACTTTGAATCATCCACTGCAATCATAACTTGATACTGTCGTTTGCTGGGTTTAGTACGTCGTAACCATATTTTATCTTTTTTGAAATCACTTGCAATATAAGGAATAATTTTTTTCATATTTAATCTCTTACCAGTCCGATAGTCTCCTTTTAATTTAGTGGCCAGAGTTGGTTCTAAAATTAATCTCAATTGTTCACAAAGTCTATTAGCGAGATTACATGTGAGATTTTCATATTTAAACCAAAGTTCTTGGGCATTAATTAAATCATTCCCAGATTTTCTCCATTCTATTAATTTATCTTCCAAACTTTGACGCAAATCATCAACTTCTTGAAGCAAAGGCTCATTATTATAATTAATAACATCTTGTTGATCATTATATTGTTTATCTTCTTGCTTTGTGTCATCATTTTTTTGCTTCAAAAAATTTGATCTTTCCTTTTCTTTTCCATGTTCTTGGTTATAATCATTATTGTCATTATTAAACATCTGTTCTTGATGAAAATTGATCTCTTCTTCTTTAGAGGAAATTTCATGATCCATTTCAATATCTTCTTCTATACCATGATTAATTTCGTGATTAGATTGATCATCAAATGCACCTAGTGATTTTATTTGTTCTTCTAAAGCATTTCCCATAGCTTGAAGATCATGAGAATTTTCATCATTTTTGAGAAACTCAAATTCCTGATGATTTTCTAAAAATGATTGTTCGGCTTGTTTTTGTTTATCATTGTTATCTGACTGAATTTCATCAGGATTTTCAAGAACATTAAGTCTTCGTTGCCACTGTTCTAGTGCATCGCCAAGAGATCTATGTGGGTTAACATCTTTGAATTTTGAATCTTGGTCCAAATTTTCACGTTTATTATCATTGATGTTTTCATGATTATTTTTTATATTTTCGTCATAGTTTAATAATTTATTACTCGAATTACCTTGATACTGATTATCATTATCATTATTATCATTATCATCATAATTATTATTATTACTGCTGTTATTACTATTGTTATTATCCATGAAATCTTCATTTGTATCTGGAGCCGAGCGATCATTTTTTTGAATGTTTGTCTCTTCTGTGTCAATGGCTTCTGATGAATTATCATTGGCATCATTTTTGGATCTTGAGTTTTGTTCCTTATTTTGGGTCTCACTCATATCATTATTTAATAAATTATTACTTGATTCATCTTTATAATGATCATTATCATTATCCGATGCCATATGATCATCTTCCTGACTATTTTTTTCTTCTGTGTCAATGACTTCTGAAGGATTATCATTGGAATCATTTTGAATCTCTAATTCATTATCTTGATTTTGATTTTGTCTAGTGTCAAATTCAGGTTCATCAATGGACATATTATCTGATAAATCTTTCTCTTCGTCTTCATAATTGTCTTCTTTTTCTTCTTTTTGATTTTCTGGGTGATCATTGTCCAAGTAGTCATCGTCACCATCATCACCATCACCACCATCATCATCACCATCAATCATCATATCATCAGGCAATTCTAAAGTTTCAGCTTCTGGAATTTTAATAGTTTGTTGATCATGTTGCCCAAATTGTTTTTCTTCATCTTCATTATATCCTTCATCTTGACCTTCATCAAATTCCTCTTGTTCATCATCAAAATCATGATCAGTTAATTTTTGTTTTTCTAATTGTTTTTGAGCTTCTTCAACCGAATCATCATGATTTTCATTTGCAACAATATCAGATTCGTCTTTTGAATTTAGACCTTCTTTTGAATCACTAGTTTCTTTGCTCTCTTTAACATTTTCAGTAGAATCATCATCCCACATTTTTTTATCGACTGCATTAGGATCCGTTTCGTCAACGTTTCCCATATTTTCATCCAAATCCGAATCTCCTTCAGATAATTCACTTTGATCATCACCATTATTGTCATTTTTTTCTTCAAGATCACCAATTGAACCTTCAAAGTCATTTTCCATTTCTATGCCCTTATCATCATATTCTTCTTGATTTTCTTGGTTTTCTTGATTTGATTCGTTTTGTGTTCCTAAAACTTGTTCTTCATCTTCAATTTCATCGCTCACGTTTTTGGCACCATCTCCTTCACCGATACCAGTACCTTGAACACCCATCTCATTTCTACATTCTTCTCCGTCATTCTCTGTTTCCATATCTGGCATGCAATAACCCTTTTGAAATATAGTGGTAAATGAATCACAAAGCACATACGTTAATTTATTTAAAGATTTATGATGGAAAATGAAATTAGATAGATAGTATAAAATTATCAAATTATATTGATGTATAAAGGGGTGTAATCGTTGTAATAGAAACAAAAGTAATTCATGAAATTCATTATTATCAAATTGTTTATCTTTCAATAATTCATAAACTGTCATTTGAATCTTGTTGAATTGAGGCAAAATTGATGATAATTGTGATTTTTTAACAAACGTTAAGTAATATTCATGTTCTTGGCGAATGTACCCATCATCATCCGCAATTGATTTTGATTTGTCATCATCCGATTCTGTTTGATCAGTTTTAGAGTTATCATTTTCCGTTGTAGATTTAATTGATCCCTTTTGACGTTCTTTAGCTTTGCGCAATTCTTGTACCGCTACTAAAATTCTATCCAACAAATTACTGATATCATTAACCAATCTACAAAGAGCTGTTGTCTTTACTTCATTGTCACATTTCCAAATACTTTGATCAGAATCGAAAACGTGGAGATTATTAATTCTCGTGAATAAATAACAATATAGCGGTTCTAAAATATGAGAAAATTCAGGAATCTGAATGTTTTTTGATTTTACAAAATTATAAAACTGTTTAATCAATTCAATATCATTTTGAATAAGATTTGAGAGGTCATTGGTAATAAAACCCATTTTTCTAATAGAATACTCTGGATACATTATTATTTGATTGTATAAATCAATGAATTCATCACGAATTAACGAAATTTTTTCAAGCCAATTCTGCATCTTTCCAATAAAAATTTCAACATTTTTTCCTTGTAAACTATTATTATTTGAGTCCAGTGATAATAATTCCTTTTGAAGATCAAAGATTAAACATGAATGAGATAATAAATAAACTATATCATCCAGAATAATTTTGAAATTTTTAATAAACTTTTCGTTCAGGTGATTTAAAGATTTTTTAGGGTGGGTTATATGCAAATTGTAATTGGAATAGATTCTACTAAATTGTAGAACAACACCAGAAAATTCAATGTAATTTTTGTCTAAATTATGTAAATATTTACGTTCCTTTACAATAAGACTCAATAGATCCTGAGAAAATCCAAGTCCTTTATGTACTTCTTGCAAAGTCAAATCTTTGGAGGGACTGCTAGTAGCTAGATTACAAAGACATGACATTTTTGCAATAATTCTGTAATAATAATCATCAGCCTTGTCACTAATTTTTATCATAGATTTTAGTATTTCCGAGTTCTGTTGAAGATTCAAATTAGTATTATTTTGACATGACATCAATTCCACATTTTTCAAAGATTGACCCAATCTTAAAGTGCCTAGTCGAAACATATATCCAACTAAATCTTTTAGTTTCTCGTTAGTTTTCTTCTTAATAAAAGGCCTCAATCCAATTCTTTTCAATTCTTTCAAAAGATCAATAAATGCCTTCTTTTTAACCATTTTTTGATTTTTAATTAAATTTTTGTTTTTTTCATTCATTACTACAGGCGTTTTTTCTTGAAGTGTCTTGATCCTATGTATAATTTCGATTGCAAAGTCTTCAATCTTTTGGTTTTTAATTGATTCCGAATTCACAAGCAATTCATTGTTACAATAAGAATGAAGTTTCTTTAACGTTTGGTCTAACTTAATAAACCGATCCGATAAGTTTGGAATTTGACTATAAATTATGGTAATTAAATTGTCGATATTTGGTGATGATGACGTTAAAGGCTGAATGGTCGATTTCAAATCAATGGAATCATTTTCAACCGTTTCACTAACTCTTGCCTCAGATTCAAAATTTTTTGCTTGATAATCAAAAATTATATCTTTAATTGATTTATCAAGTATAATTTTGTATTTTTTAATGCATTTGCTAAGTTGTCTATGCGTTTTAGCCGCACTTTGTTTAAGTGCATAAATATTTACATCCTTCCAGCTAGCAATCTTAACAAATTCTTTAAGTTCCTTTTCAATAGGCTTACATAATGTCTTTAATGTTGCGTTGCGATGTGATAAGAACTGAGAGTAATACTTGAAGACGTTTAGGATTGTATCAGCTGTGGTATTATAATAAGAAAGTCTACGAGTAATTATTTTATCTGAATTTTTTTTGATAAAATAAACTTTCAGGGAAAGATGTTGATAAAAAGAATAAAGCAGCTCTAGTCTTGCTTCAAAGTCACCAATATTTGAAGATTGTAGGAATTGATCCAATGCACTAACGATTCCTGTAATATGTTTTCCAAAATCACCATCATCATTAATTTCTCTTTCACCTTCATCACATTCTTCTTCTAGACCATCATATTTATCAGCAAACTCATCAATAGGATGGATTATGCTGTTATAAAGATGAAACCACCATTTATAAGCAGATTTTTTATAATAAGTTTCTTGAGCTGTTAATAACTTTGACCAACAAGTTAGTTCAAGTTGTCGCCAATGAATTATCAACTGCGTGATTTCTTGTTGATGAGATTTTATTGATACTTCACGACTAGCAAAAACTTCCCATTCATCTGATTTTTGAAGCAAAATTTCCAAGCCTGTGAGTAGTTTTGCTAGCGGTGAATCTAAAGAAAATCCATTTATCCTACTGCAAAGATTATCGATCTGCTGGAGAATAGCATGTTCAGGCCACATTTTAAGCAGTTTCTTAATGGCCTGTTGTAAATTAGATACAATGGGACCCAATTTTTTGGCTTCTATAACATTTTGATCATTATAGAAATCATAGTTTTTTTCCTTGAAACTAATACCACCACCACTATTATTACCATTGTCATCATCATAATCACTGTCAAAAGATTCTCCAACTCCAGTACCATGAATTAACCATTCTTTTAATATCGATGTCCCAAAAACTTGAACAGTATCAATATCATCATCTAAATCCTCAGGAAAAAGTTTACCACATGCTTTTGCGATACTTCGTGCCATAATAAAAGACTCCCAAAATATTTTCTTTGTTGATTGTCTTTGATTTTTTATTTTCAAGCAATAAGAAGTGTGACTGAAATCGTTGAAGAAGGTTTGATAAATAGTACCAACTTCAATAAGGATATCATTGTTTAAATCTTCCATGGGTAGCGTTTCATTGTTACTATTATCATTGTTATTTATATCATTGTTATTTACATCATCGTCAACATCAAAGTATTCATGAATGTAATCTGGAAACATTTGTTTTAATTCAATTTCTGATAACTGTTCGTCTGTGGCAAAAGAATTATTCTTGGTTTTGGTCTTGTAAAGATTCTCTCCTTCCTGAGCCAATTTAATTTTCTGTTCCTCGGCAGCCAAGTATATATCGGATATTTCACAAAGAACCTCTTGCAGGGTATCAAAAATCTTTAATGTTAAATAGCCATGCTTTGCCGCATGTTTATAAATACATTTTACAATTATAGTTAAATATTCCAGGTAATTATTCCATTTATCTCGTGATGATAGGTTTTGAGAAAACATTAAATTTTTGACATTTGTTAATGATTCTGGAGAAGCAAGCATCAAAACATCATCATGTTGAAATCCAGATTGTGTCATAGTGATCAGAGTTTTTAATACTTTGTAGATTAAATTATCATTTGTTGATTTCAAGACTTTGTTTGCTGAAGCCATCAATCTGAAGCCATATTTCAATTGAAATATCGCTACAAAGATTGGTTGAAGTAAGTCTTGATAAAGTGGATAATTGGTTGACATTCGTTGAATAAATTGCATGCATTTATCCTGGAATAAAACTTCACGTTGTAGAATAGAAATTTCATTTAAATTGCCTTCCAGATTTTTTAAAAGGTCCAAAACGTGAAAGGAGTCAATGACATTGTTACAAAGGTAGTGAATCTGATTGAAGAGATCGTTCAATTGTGATGTCTCGGGTCGTAAAGTTAAATTTGCAGAATTATCTTTCAAGAGCAATTTGATTCTTTCCAATTCATTTTTACAATTATCAATTATCATGTTTGAACTTTCACCGTTATACCATTTTTCAATTTCTGATCTGGCCAATATTTCAATCTCTAATTTGGCTTGTTTATGATGAAGAAAATCACAAAATATATGGGGTTCTGCGGTCGGATCAAATGCATAGTTTGGAATGTATAGTTCCATAAATCCAAGTGCCACAAATATCCATGCTTTACCAATATCCATTCGAATCAATTCAATTAAATCCACGTTATCGTATTTGTTTAAGTATTGAATTATTGATTGAATAGCTGGTATAAACCATCTCTGTAGTGTAGAGGAAAAAGATAAATCATCAATCTTTTCCAAATCGGAAATTACTATAACAAGCATTTCAATTGCTTCCGTAGCATTAATATTAGCATCAAATTTAACATCATCTTGATCCAACAGAAAAGTACGATTTGTTAATTCGATAATTTTGTCAAACTTTACAAAAATATAATTAAATTCTTCCAATGAATGTTTTTTGTCAATTGTAGAAAAAATCTGCAACGTGTAATGTAATATAGTATTTTAAAAATTGAAATAATTAAACAAACAATTTAACAAAAACTCTTGAATAATTATTTAAATGAATAAATAAAAAAGAAAGAAGCTCACTTGTTTTAAATATAGTAATAGAAGCGTAATGTCAATATCACATCGTTTCACTTTGAAAAATAATTTTTTTGAAATGATTTTTCTAAACTTTTCGATCAGATTCAGATTTTCATTGTAATTGCACACTGCCATTGATTGAATATTAAAACTATCATAGGAAGATAAATAAAAAAGATTATCGTTATGAAAAAATAATTTTGATAATAATTAAAAAACATCAATAAATAACTCACGTAAATTCAAAAAAATAATTGACAAAAACACTTTGGTATAACCTTGCAGGCCCTAAAGTATGCTTTTGAATTATTATAAAAAAATAAGTTGGTTAATATTTAAAAAACAAAATACATATAAACGTTAATATTTAAATCTAAATTTACCTTCATATATACATCATCATTGAAACCTGAATCCATCAAATATAAATCATAAGTTAATCTCCACAATCTATTATGCCATCCATACAAAACATCTTGAACAAAGTTATTTAATATGGACTTTGCCTTTTCACTTGGTACTATCAATAGAAAGATATATATATATATATATATAAGCTAAACAACATGTACATAAACTTGTATTTTATTGTTAATATATAGTAACTAACCATTAGAACCTTTTCCATAAATCCATATTATCTGTTGATGAGAAGCAAAATCTAATGGAGGCCTTGTTCCATTTTTTATAAAATAGTCACAAAATTCTCCTATCTTTATAAGAATTTCACAAAATTTATCCTGCCAAAAAAAAATAACACAATAAAATAACTTAAATGTCTGTTTATTGAATAATTAAAATAAATTGATAAATGATAAATAAAAAGGTATACCAACATTATTCAAATAAGTTTTTTCAGAAGTAGCAAATTGAAGCATTTGTAGAATTTGCATTTCTTGAATCATTGATGAATAATCAATAATACTATTCATCTGATTTGTTTTTTGGTCTTGAAATGATAAATTTACTATAGGTTGATTATCAATTTTCTGCATCATATTTGAATCTAGAATTTTATTTCTTATATGCTAAAAAATAATCATCAATATTACTATTTAGTTTCAAATAATCATCGAATTAAAATATTATAATAAATAATAAAATAATTTACCTCTGGAAGTTTTTTTATAGTGTTAAACAACTCAATTGATTCAGAACCATGATTTTCCTCAATAAAATACAATGAAGTAAATGCATCAATTAACATTTTTTTTATTTCAAGGTTAGTAGTATTATTATTATTATTAAGATTAACCTCACTGATTTCAAATTCTTTTCCAATCTTGATTAATTCTTGTTCCAACTGAAATAATTCAATTTTTGAAAATGTGATATGATGAAATCTATGCCAAATAGTACTCATAAACATCCCTGTTTTCAGAGTTTCATCTTTAATAATATGATCAAGAATATCTATTAGATGTTGTGCGCTATCAACTTTATCTCGAAAATTTTCAACAGCTTTGTATATCATTTTAATATAAATATGAAATTTCCCTAGATCAAGAACCTGTGCGCTTAAATACTCCCATAGAAAATCACGCATATCCAACAAATCATTAATTGCTGAAATTTCCAATTCACCACAATTGCCATTTTCAATCCTGGATTTTACAACATTTTTAAGCTGTTGTAAAATAGGATATATGAATGAAATAATCTTATGACAAATTTGCGTTTCTCCAATATTGCCTTGGTTATAACAATATGATTGTTCAGCTAATGACATTTTTGAAACTTTAATTTTTGATGCATTTTTATATACGATATTTTCGAGAAATTCTTCCTGATTAACACGTTTAGATAAAGACAATGATTTGATATTTGATGAATATTCTTCCCAGACATTTAAAATCATTTCAGAATTTGCGTAATTGTGAAGTGTTGTTTTCGTAAGATTACTAAATAATTTGTGTATAGTAGGATTATTTGTAATATCAAGAGACTATATATATATAAAGGAGGAAGGAATATTATGATTAATTTTTTTAATTTGGAATAATTAATATTTTAAAAAACTAATCCATTTCACTTACCAGGCAATTCATAAACGTTTGATCAACCTTTATAAGATTTGATAATTGGTTTTTAAAATCAATCAATATAGGAGTACGAGAATGATTTGCAAGGCTATGGATCATAAATTTCACATATTCTATGTGAGTAGAAATTAACTCAAAAAGATCCGTGGACTTGAACATGGATAAAATAAAATCAAGCCAACATAATCTTAATGAAACATCTTCCATGGAAAAATGTTCAACAAAATAGTCACAGGCTACTAGTAACTTTTGTGATAATCCAACAACATCAGCAGTTAAAAGTTCTTGTTTACATAGTTGATGCAATAGATAAGATCCTTGGATACAAATCATGGCCAAAGATGGTTCTTCTTTTAATAAACCACCACCGACAAATAATGGAGAATTTGATAAATAACCAGTTTCAGACAATATTGATTTTTCGTTGTTAATGTAATGTGAAATTGACAGAATCTCACTAAAGTCTTTTTCGTCAATAATGACGCCAAATTGATCAAAAGTATTTTTTAAAGCTGATGAAAAATTTTCTCCTCTTTGAAGCCTTTCCAATATGAAATTTGTTAATGCCATATAAGAACCAAGATTATTTTTCAGCAAACTAGTAGTAGCACTTGATTTTTCTTTCATACTTTGTAAATATTTATCGATAAATAAAATAAGATTGTCAGATCGAAGGCCATAACCGTTAAATAATTTTATTAGATCTTGTTTGTTTTCAATGAATTCTGATCCCAAAAGCGATATTTCAACTCCACGATTTCTCATTGCTTGAGACAACTCACCATTTCTAGGATTTACAGTCATAAAAATTCTAAAATCTTTATGTGGTTTGTAAACTTTAACCTCTCCATCTATCAATCCACGTTCATTCAAAACTATCACGCCATTTGGTTCAAGCAACGAATTTAATCTATCCAAAACTGATGGACTACAAACATTGGCATTATCAATTAAAAGCCAGTGCCCTTTCTCAAGTGCATTAATAAGTATTCCATCAATCCACTCAAAATGACCTTTCACGGTTTCGCTTTCCAATGTTTTAATTTTGTCAATCTGTGTCTGTATTGAATCCAGCATGTGTTGAAAATCAATAGGATACGTTGAAGATAAATAATGAAGGTCAGCGGTTGCCTTTCTTATAGATTCGATTAATTGATCAACTATTGTGTAATCTATATGTCTTTTGGAAAGAGCAGGACTAGAATTTTTTTGGCTTATTCCAGTATTAAATTTGTAATTACTTTCAAGCGTGAATATCATGTCATTAAGTTTCTGGATTATTTGAATCAACTTGTCATTCCCAACATTGCTGGTATTAGTTTGACATAATGTCAAAATACATTTGATAATTTCATTACATATGGAATTTAATTGTTCCATTGCTAAAAGTCGATGTCTCGCTAAATCCAATTGTTCAAATCCACCTAATAATTCCGCAGTGTCCACCGAACTATTCATTGTGAATTCTTCAAGTGTGTTACCTGTAAGATCTGCCAACAATCTAATCAGACTAGTTTTACCAGAAGACTCGGGTCCAGTCAATATCACCATCCAATTCATTTCAACACATTTCATCAATGCTTGAAAAGGCCTCATTTGAGATTGAAAAATATGCAATGGAATTTCTAGAAATTTTGTATTTGAGATAAAGCATCGACGTTTCAGGATTGAATGACCAACTTGAAAAAATTTTGAATCAATATGGTAATGTGGACGCCTTGGATGTTTGATATTTTTATCGAAGATTTCATTAAAAATCAAAATAATATGATCTCTATCCTCCTTAGTTCTCATTTTTTGAAGGTATAAAAGATCCAAGTAATCTTCTGGTTCAGAGTTATAGCCAAATCCTTGGTCCTTATTCAACAAGTCTAACCAACGAAAAACATCTCTAAGATTAAATTCCCACGGGCTTCCATTTCGACCAAATACACATTCTATCATTGAATCTTGATAGACCCTATTATTAAAATCAATAATCTTTTCCAAAGTTTTGCAGTTGATTCTTGGAAAAAGGTATTTAGAAATAAAAAGCATATCATCTTTTGTCAGGTGTTCAATGTAAACTTGAGTGAAACGATTTGTAAAAGACTTTGGGAGACCTTTTCGACCACCCCCTTGATGAAAAGGATTTTGTGCCCCAAACACACGAAATTCACGAGAGCAAGAAAATTCTTTATCCAATTCAGGTATGTAGACTGTGCCACGATGATCTAAACAGGAATTAAGACCTTCCAGCACCGATTGAGAGGCCAAATTCAACTCATCCAATAATATCCAATCTCCAGTTTTCATTGCCTGTAGAAAAGGCGCATCACGCCAAGCAAATTCGCAATTATCTCCACCTTCAACCGGAAGATCAGAGCCGAACAGATCCATTAAATCAGTTTGATCAGACAAATTAATACGGATCAATTTGTGGCCCGTTGCTGCCGCTAATGCTGAAACTAAACTAGTTTTGCCTACACCTGGACTACCCTCCAATAAAATAGGTTTTTTAGCTTGCATTGCTCTCAGAATTCTTAATGTATTATTCATGGTTGTAGAAGCTTGAAGAGTAAAAGAAATCGGTCGAGTGTCAAGAGAACCTTTAGGAATAAAAAATGGATGAATTCCAAAAACATTTTCGGTAGAACTTAATTTTTTAGCATCAATAAAATCATTGTTAAAGTAAATATTAGAAAATTCAGAATCATCAATCAGTTCGACTAATTTTTTTAGGCATTTTACGCGAAAGTCTTTTAAGTTTAGTCCAGACGAAAATGATCCAGAAGTGGAATTTGAACCAAGCCCATCTATGAAAACAAGAAATCCCCCATGGATGAAACTTCTTTCTGCCCCAATTGATTCCACGGTGCTATTCATAAACAATACCCATGTTAAAATATCTCTCAAACTTGTAGTAATTAAATTGGAGCCCAAGGAATGTTTTAACCAATCAACAAAATTCAATATACGTTGCGCGTAACCTTTTAAGCTATTGTTATGATTCAACTTTGAATCGATTATTTGAATTAAATCTTCGTTATCGATTACTGAAGGTACCCAGATTTCCGTGAACCGATTTCTTAAAGCAGGTGATAATTCTTTTTTACCATAATCACCGCCTGGATTCATAGTGGCTAAAAATTGAAAACCAGGTTTTGCTACTAACTCTTCGATTTGTTCTCCTCCTTTTTCTGGTAAAACCAAAATCCTACTTGGCTCAAGAACACTATTAAGACGTTCAATAACAGAATCATCGGCCAAAGAAATTTCATCTAACAGAAAGAATTCCCCATTTTTCATTGCTTGAATCAAAGGTCCATCATGCCATTCAAATAAAGTATTCAATTGCTTACAACGTAGCTTTAGCAAGCCAACTGAATAACACTTTTCTGTTGATGATGACAATTCCATTTGTTCATCATTATCATTATTGTTATCATTAATGCTATCATTATTATTATTATCATTATTATTATAATTCTCATCCCTGGAAACAATTTCAAAAAGTTCAATCAAATTTTTCAATTCCATTTTTTTCAAATCTATATTGTTCTCTAAAGCATATTTTAACAAATATTCCGACAAATCATTTTTAAGCTCAGCACTCAAAATTCCCTTATTTCTCAAGGGTCGTTGACCACCGAGCAAATCAGCAGTTTCAGTGCTATGATGACAATTAACAATATGAATTTGGGAACCATATATTTCCGCCAAAACTTGACATATTGTAGTCTTACCACATCCAGTTTCGCCAACTAATAAAACAGGTTCGTTAAATTTTAAACAATTAGCAACCAAAGTAAATAATCTTTTCATGGCTTTTGTCCATACCATCATATCATTGTTATTGATGCGATCACTAGTGTTTTGAATCAAATTAAATTTCTGAAACTCGTCCAATTTAGAACAATCGTACATTTGATTCTCGTCAATCTTGACTTTCATTACTGTTTCCAAAACTTGCTTAACGATTGCCTTTTCTTCAGGTATTCTTATTCTCTCGGCAAGAAGCATATAGCCTTGCTCGGCTAGTTCTTGATATCCAATTGCACATCTTTCGGCCCAACGAAATAAATCTCTCAAAGTAATATAACCGTGTTTTTGTTCAAATATCCTTGTTCCTTGTCGTCTCTCAATCAGTTGTTTGTATACCATAACTAATTTTTTGCAATAAGATGGAGCAATGCTACATCTTTCCGACAAAATAGTTTCCAACTCACCTTCTGGAATATCATCGAAATGAAGTTCCATAAACCTATTACGAAAAGCCCGGGACAAAATTTTTCTGCCACCGTAAAGTCCTGGTGGATTCTGGGTAGCAAACAACATAAAATCTTTGTGTGGCTTAACTATCTCGTTGGTTTCAGGTATTAAAAGTTCTCGGTTATCATCTAAAAGTCTATTAAGTGCCTCCATGACATCCGTTGGTGCCAAATTTAATTCGTCCAGAACAATCCAATATCCATTTTTTAAAGCTTCGACGAGAATACCTTCCTGAAATTCAAGTTTCCCTTCCGAGTTTGAAACATAAGTTCCCAAATATTCCTGAAGATCTGTATGTTCATGATTATTTATCCTAACAAATCGATGCCCAGTGCATTTAGCCAAATATTGTATCATGCTGGTTTTACCGGCAGAGGTTGGTCCTTGAAGCAAAACGGGAAATTTTTTGCTCATTAATACTCTTGCGAGATTATTTAGGCTTCTTTTTATGGAAGGTGTCAATATGTAATGAGGCATTTCTTCCGGTGGGTAATTTCCGAGCGAAAGCCAAAAACAACCAAATAGAACATAATTATTATCTGACGATGGTTGTTTGGGTATTTGTTTTATTAGTGACTTTGGATTTTGAACATCTTTCAATAAATATTTTTCAATTAAGCCTTCCAAAACCACTACACTTTCACCATTCAGTTGTGTCAAAAAGGTCATACAAAAGCCTTCATATATCGACCGTCTTAAACCATAAGTTTGAATAATCTGTGTGACATACCTTAAAGCTCTTGTCAAAGTTCTCATGCTGAAATGTGGACGCTGGTTAGCACCGTCGACAATTTTATGTTGATTTTCCAAATCTTTGACGGCAATATAAAATTCAACTATATCATTAAAAATTCGTTCATCCTTACTGGTTATATAATCGGATAAATATTGTTTTACAATAATCATCAAGTCATCAAATCTGTTGTCTATTGGGTGAACGTAAAACTCGGTGAATCTATTCCTGAGGCCTGGTGGTAGATCACGTTTACCAACATCTGTAGCAGGATTCATACAGGCGAAGACTCGAAAATTAGGATGTCTTTTTATAGGTTCGGAATCACCTTTTTCAGTTAATAGTATAGAACTGTTTGAATCTTGAAGCAGACCACTTAAACATTCTAACGTTTCTGTAGAAGCCAAATTAACCTCATCCAAAAGAATCCAATCGCCATTTTTCACAGCTTTGACCAAAGAGCCTTCAACAAAACTAAAAACAAATTTATTTCTTATTTGATTTAATTGAATTTCAAATTCTTGAAGTTGATTTTCAAAAATTTTCCAACGACCACGTAAGTCAGGAGTTAACAGTTTTCGTGATGATCGCTTTTGATTATTATCATCACCACCATCATTGTCATCACCATTGTCATCATTATTATCGTCATTATTATGATTATTATCGAATGTTTGATTGGCCATCTTGGCAGCTTGCTTTAATAAAGTTAAAAACTTTGTGTATTTCTTTGATGTAAATACTTTACGTACAGCTTCTAAAAAATTCGGATTCCTTTTAATCGAAAAGGTTTTCTCAAACAACTTGTCAAATTCATCTTTTAGTGGTATGGCAAGAATTCTCACATCGACAGGTTTGAAGCCACCAAGCAAATCACTACTGTCTGTCTGTTGAGATAAGTTAACTACAACAAGATTTTGATTAAGCATATCAGCCAAATGCTGAATAACAGTAGTTTTTCCGGTGCCAGTTTCACCAACTAGCAATACTGGTTCTTTTAAATTTACACAAACAGCTATTTGTTCCATTAATCTTAAAGAATGTCCAGTATTAGCAAAAATTTTTTTATGGTTGATAGCATATTTTAAATATTTTTCCTTTTTGCTATCCAGAGAAATTAATTTGGCTCTCCCTATTATGATATGGTCATTGGTAATATAAAGATTGGGAACATAAGAGTTCACATAATAATGTACTCTTTCTGCAGTTATACCCAACACATCGCCAAGTTTCAGTAAAGAATTTATCCAAGCATCAAAATCAGAAATCATGGCGCAAAAACAATCAGCAGCCTCGCTGAATAAATCATTTCTAATGTCATTGATGTCATAATGCGTATTTGAGATTAGTTGGTTGGTTGAAAAAATATTTTTTGATCTCAAAAGTAGCTCACTCCTACGACACCATTTCATCAGGTCACGGATAGAAATATATCGAGCAAAATTTGAAGTGAATGAGATCAATGTTGGTGGCGGTGGTGGCGGTGATTCCGCTTGTAGATCAGATGTATCCGTTTGTGATATTATTGGTGATGCCGGTGATGAGTTTTGATAATAGGTTATTAAAGAGTGAAGAATTTCGATAATATTTTGATTGTCAAGATTTTTAAAAAATTGATTCTTTATAACGTATTTGAGTTCATTTGAAGTTAAAGGATTTATGGTGATTCTTGTCCACAAGTTAGTTTCAATATTTGAATTGATAGAATTTGAAGATTTTTTCATTCCAACAGGAATCAGACTTTTAGTAGCAAATAAATGAAAATTTGGATGAGCCTTTATTTTTTCACCTCTATTGGGAATAAAAAGTTGCCTTGTTTCAAGCAAAGGTAATATAACAGAAATGACATCATTTGGAGCAAAATCAATATCTTCGATTAAAACCCAACGACCTTTAGATACAGCAGTATTTAGAACTCCAGGTTGCCAGCGGAATGAAGCAGGCGTTGAAGTAGAAACATAAGTCCCTAGCAGGACTTTTGAATCAGTTTGATCGCCTAAATGTATTTTTATAAGATCTAAATAATATATAAATACATTTTGTTAGTTTCTTTTTAGGAAGAATATATATATATATATATATAACAATAACCTTCACCATGTCCAGTTAAATATGCAAGCTCTTCGACCAAAGTAGTTTTACCAGATCCGGTTACTCCTTCAAGTAAAATTGGCGAATTCATAGAAAGTGCTAAACATATTGAATGTAGATTAAGTTTTGTTGTGTCTGTTAATATAAGACGATTATTTGACAATGACGTTGATGTTGATGGTGAAGATGATGAATTAGTTAGAGGAAGTAGAACACCACAAATATTGATGGTAGCTGGAGATAAATCAGAATTATTCAAGTAACTTAATGATATTGAAAATACATTATTATTATTATTTTCACAATCAAGTAGTAGAGAATGTTGCTTTTTAGCATTAGAAATCTCATCAAATAATCTCAACATTCTAACATCTATGATTTCACCATTTTCCAATTCCAAGTAATTGATGATGTGATGGGATTTAGAAGAACATGTCCAATATTCTAATGCAATCTCTTGTTGAGTGACACTCATATTATAAACAATACTTAAACATAAAATAGTCAGGTAACGAATAGTGTTATCAGAATGCAATAATAGTTGAAAAAGCGGAGTCCAATTCCACAGGTGAACAAAACTACTAACGGAAAACTTTAAAAGTCGATATATTGTCACTAATAATAATTGTAGATCTTTTATTGATGAAGAATTCTTTTTACATAAATTTACAATGTTAGATCAATAAAAATCAGAAAATGAAAAATCTTTTTTAATTGTAAAACTTTACCTCCTCATGTAAATAATTCAACCTTTCTAGTAAGGAAGGTGATGTAGAAAAAAAAGAAATAGCAATACTAATAATTTATATGTAGTATATAATTTTCAATATACTTTTAAATTGATCTAGTTCTTTCTATATACATATATATATATAAATACATAAATATATAAAACATGTGCACTTCTTACCTCAACAGTTGGGGAGTTATTGGTAATAATTGAGTAAAAGCAAGAGCAACCTTTTCAATTCTCAAAAAATATTCTTTATTTGAAAATAATTGGTTGCTTTTAGTGTTATTGTAATTATCAATATTTAGTTGTAATGACCAGCGTGAAACTAAATCAATTAGAATTGGTCTGAGTGATTCAGCAATTTTTAAAGTTAATTTAGGATGTAAAAGCAATTCAGATATAATATCTAATGATTTTATGAGCTCATTTGGATCCTTATTTTTAATCTCTGCCCATTTATCGGTTGCTTGTTGCAATAATTCTTGTTCTATCATTTTCTGCATTTTCTGATATAAAAAAAATTTTGACAAAATTTTCTATTGATTATCAATCACGACATTCCCATTTTTCGTGGAACAATCCAGTTTTTGCAAACAAAAAATTTTTATGCAAGAGAAAGATTCTTCTACCGCATCATTAGAGGAAAAGTTCCTTTGGGTATTCAGGTAATCTTTGTCAGCTACTTTTTCAGGCTTGTGTAAAAACATTAATTATTTCTCATCCTGACAAATTCTTCGTATATACATGCATGCTTAATATTAATACTCTTCCGGAGGGTATACCTTACTTGAACTCCAACAGAGAAGCTATCAAAATGCGAAAACTTGGCATGCTAATCACAGCTTATAGAACCTGTGCTTTCTATAAGAGATAGAACATTTGAGAGATAAAGTGATAAAAAAAAAGTGAACGTATTTTTTTATTTAGTGGAAGGCAACTTTTGACACGTAAATCGTGAATCCAAAGCATGGGTGAAATCCCAGCCCAAATGATAGTATGAACAGCTCTTGACATGTAAATTACGGATAGAGTATGAATGAAATCTCAGTTCTGCTATGCGCGATCCATTTTGTTTTTCAACCTTTATGCTTCTTAGAATGATTTGAAATGACGATATACTAGTAACGCAAATATATATATGACCTTAAAAGGTCAACCTCGAGCTCAAAGAAGTACAGTATCTACGTTTTGGTCATCAATTATTAATCAGCGAAACCAGGTATATTATTGACAAATGCCCAGGCTCTGGGTGATCCGCAATTCTTATACAATGTTTAATATTATTTGTCCGTCAAGGATGCCTCAAGTAGTATATTCATTTCTTTATTTTATCTTAATTAGAAAAGCGGCTACCAGAAGGTAGCCGGTAAAATTCCCCGAGGGAGGTAAATTGTCATTAATATACAAAGCTCAAGATACAAAAGAACAATATATTATTTAGTTGAAATTGACAAACCACCTACAAAATATTTCTTGAAGAGAAGGTTCTTTATATTATTATACTACAATCTCGCACCTATAAAAATTCACCGTTAAATGAAAATGATCCTTAGTATTAGGCTTGCTACTCTGACAGACTTCTTGGATTACATGTGGTACCAGAAGAAGCAAAACAGCTTGAGCCTTATTTTCCCTTTAAATTGGCTATTAGTATAGAATCTATAACATCATCTGTAACTGATATATCTGATGATGAAATTTTTGATATACATTTTATTTTGCATTTTTAATTGAATTTTTTCTCATTGCATTAACTAAATTTCCCACACCACTCTTAGTTTCAGAAAATGAATATATTTGTTTGAAAGCTTTTTTGCTTCATTCTTCAAAGTATTTATATTATAGTATCATCACTCACCGACGGCACTGCATCAACTTCAAGGCCTTCAATGTCAATAAAGAGCTAATATCATCAAACAAAGACAAAACCTGTAAGAAATTGAAGTCGAAAAAACTACCTGTGCCTATGATGAGTATAAACAAAACCATATATATATATATATATATATGCAGGATCAGATGGATTTTTCTTTTCATACATATAAACTATCGAGAATGCCAGCAAATGAATTGACCACAGTGGGATCCACATGTAGTGTTAATACATAGAGTCAGTCACACTATGTGGAGGTATGTTTTACTATTATAACGGCATAGCCTGTTCACTGGCCATTACCACTATAACGTTATAACACCTATGGAAATGCACACTATGTCTTGGTCCCAACCTCTGGACTTTGAGATAAATGCACACTCTCTATGCTCTGCACTGCATGGTATTTTGTCAATCCACTAATACGAAAACTCAACCCCTATTTTTCTTTAAAAAAAAATAATTGATCAGTTTAGAAGACTTTTTTTTTACTCGAGATTTATTTATTTCCTTGTACTGACATCTTTTCTTGTTTAATACAATATCATAAACATCTTAATAAACATGGTGCAAAACTTGTGTCTTTTACATGATATGTGATTGATTATACAAGGATGATACAGTATTATTATTAGCTTGTTTTTGGCATTTTTGGCATGATCAACATTTTCACCTGGTCCATCACATTGATTAATGTTTCTGATCTCAACACATTCAAGAAAGTGTCTTTTTGTTTGCTGTTTCTTCCTTATCATATGATGCTCATGGTAGTTTTTTATTCAACGAGTTGCATAGCAAGGCAAGGAAGCAAAGCAACTCTAATATTTCCTGTACAACTCAAAATTGGCTAAATAAGATGAACAATAAAGGCAAAGCACCAATGTAGATAAAGATCTTTCAGTTTAAAACCAGGGGGATGATGTTGAAATTTGTGATATAGATTGTGGTGGCAATGAAGAAACTGCTTGAACCAGTTTATTTTTATTTTTTGACATGTATGCTTATGATGACAATGGTTGTTAAAGATTAAAAATTAAAAATTACATTTGTTTTTTTGTTAAAGATCATTGTTTTGGTGTGCATATTTGGCATCCAAACTTCGAAATTCCAAAGATATGACAATTGCAAGAAGTTATATAATATCACTATCAAATATAAGTAACTAATTATCTATAACTTCATTTAATACCACAACTATAGTAACTAATAAATAAAATAAATGACAAGATTTAACTTATTCAGGTAAGTCATCTGGTATAGTTAATTCAATCTGTTGAGTATCTAAAAAAATATT